TATATATATATATATATACAGATTTCTCAGCCAAGATTTATCTTTATATAGAAACCCTAAACCGTTCCTTTTTACACTCCCCACCTCCCATTTCTTCTCCTTCACCAACAAAAAAGCTTAAATCGGGCGAGGAAAAAACTCTAAAAAACCAGAGAGAAACACAGTCTCCCTCGCTCCCCCCTCTCTCCAGCAATGCCTTCTTCCTCCCAGCGCTTCCTCTCACTCCCCTTCATCCTCCTCCTCCTCCTCGCCTCCACCGCCACCGCATCCTCCTCACCCAACCCCACCGCCTCCATCCTCTGCCGCCACTCCGACACCCCCTTACTCTGCCTCCGCATTGCTGCACCTCTCCGCATTGTGAACCCCCTAACAATAACCGAAGCCGCCATCAAGATCACGACCAAGGTGGCCGTGCGAGCCAAAGCTGAGGCGACCTTCCTATCGCTATTACCGCGTCAGACCCCTCTGCAGAAAGCGAGGTTAGAAACCTGCGCGGAGAGCTACGGAGATGTGGTGGATGGGCTTCGAGATAGCGCGATTTCGCTGGCAATGTCGAGGATGAAGGCGGAGGTGATGAATTACTTGTCGGCGGCGAGCTTTGGGGTGACGGTTTGCGAGGATGCGTTCAAAGATGTTCCGAGGGGGAAATTTCCTCTGGGTAGGGTTAATAAAACGCTGAGGAACTATGTCTCCAATGCTCTGGCGATGGGAGATCAGCTCAGCTTGCATTGGTGAGGTCATCTTAACGCTAATGTTCCACAGTCGGGGATTTAGGGTTTTTATTATTGCACCAAGCCCTATCCCCAATACTTACTCATCTATCGCATCTTTTACAAAATTGCATTTTGGGACGATGAAAATAAATAAATAACTAAATAATGTTAAATAAAAAAAATTATTTATTTGTTTCATATATGGATTCTGGTGTCTTTTTAGTATTATCGTCTTATATGTGAATATTGCATGTGATGGATGAGGAGGCTGGATTCTTTTTAGCAAACTATATTACCTTGGGAGAAAAAGCTCAAACTCGGCTTTAACTGATGCATGGGCTATTAATAGGAGAAAATATTACGTCCATCATTCGCAGCAGACGACCCACCGTCTCCGTCTAGTGATAGCTTGGAATACATGCTGACGTGCCGCCCGGTCATGCCAGGCCGTTGCTCAGCGGTTGGTAGTACTAGTTTAGGGGTGATGAGATGCAACATTTTCTATGGCGGAGAGCTTCCACTATTATCAAAGGTGGGAGTAAATTCCTAGGTAAGAAAATTAGACCGGACATTGAACCAGGTAGAATAGGGTGATGCCATTAATATAAAAAGAACATTAAATATAACTTAAATAACATAAAGATTAAATCAACTTCGGAATGAAAAGTCAACAAGAGTGAAACATAATCAAGAAAATATAAAAACTTAAAAATGAAACATAACCAATAAAATATGAATACGTAAAAAAGAAAAGGTAATAATTTAATAGTCATGCATATTTCACCAAATGTAAATAAGAAAATGAAACCAATGATGATTAGAGTAAGACATTCTTCATCATATAAATAGATTCAAACCATTCTTCATGATTTTTAATGAAAATGTGGCATAATCGGATCAACTGCATGTTCCAGCCGGTTCTTTCTGCGTTGATGTGCAACGGGTTTCAGCCCAACCAGAACCGGGGTCGAATCAATTAAACCGGCTAGCTCGGTCCAGTTTTTAAAACGTCAGTAAAAACACAATCACATGCGAGTGTATTAGTTTTTCTATTTAGTATCATAAAATGACGAACTCCATCAGTTAACATGTATGTGAAAACATTATATGCATTTCCACTCATTCAAACTTTTCATATATTGTAAATTTGTTTTACTGCATTAATGCATCCTGTTAACATATTAAATGAATTGAGAGATCTAAACCATTAATTTCAACATGATCGAAATATTCAATAGAAAAATCATCATTTAATTTGCAGCAATATTTGATTAAGTGTGTATAAAAAATTAGCAAAAATATTTAATTTAGAAGAAACAATAATATCATTATAATTTATAAATACGAGCACTCATCTTGACCCCTTAAATTTTGTTATATTCTCTAACATTAAAATGTCATATGAGATGTACGTGTGAGTAATGTGAGAATTATTAGTCAACTGATTTAAATTTTTTAATTATACTCAGAGTTTGATATAATCTATTAATTGTTGATACGAATAAGAAAAAAGTTATATAATTTCATATAAATATTGCAATCTCATCCAATATGTATATGTTTAATTCATATTTACATATTAAAGAGCTGTAGATTCAGAAAAAAATATTGCGTCTGGAGACCGCTACGTCCGGACAACAGATATGATACATCGAGGACGGTTATTTTTCTTCCTCCTCTGCTCCGCCTGGTGTATGATGTCCGTTCCGGATGTAGCTTTGCGTCCGGAGTCCTGAAATAATATTTTTTTTCGTAGATTCAAGGCAGAAATCATCTTGATCATTGGTTTTGTTTCTTAACTGTAACTTTATAATCTGTGTTGTCATTTGCTTGTTATTATCAACCATCTTTAATATCAATGGTGATGAATTTGGCAGAATGAGGTTTATTGGGCTGTTGCTTCATTTAATTTACAAAAAAAAAAAAAAAAAAAAAAAAAAAAAAAGAAATCTCTTGAAGTAGTTGTGGCTCATGGGGCTCGACCACATAATACATTGGTGTCATAAATCTATGCATGAATAGATTTCTTTTATTTGTCATAAGATAGTGATGGTGATATTTTTTATGTGATGATAAAATTTGAATGGTATGGATGTAAATATGAATGTTTAGGAATTAGATTAGTAAATGCATCGTCTGGTCTTACTATATGGCCTCAATGCAATACTATTCTTGGTGTGTTAGGGCTCTCTATAGTTTTAAATAAGTCCAAGAGTTTATTGCAATTGGATATGCTTTTATTTAACGTAATTATATGTAACGTTTATAGTTGTAAAATAAGAGTTGTTTGTATAATTATAAATCAATTTTGTCTAAGAAGAAATTGAAGAAAGAAATGGATTATTTATTTGCGTTTCAACTATAGAAAGATGGGGCAATTACATACATACCGCCCGAAACTGGCTATTTACAAATCAACCACCCTCTTTTATCCATTTTTTACTCACTCAAATACATGGTAAAAAGCCAACCCATGTTTTTCATTTTGATCGAATTATCATTAGTTTGATTGTAACACGTGTAAATACATCGGTTCTGTAGATAAAAAAAAAATAAAAAAAATCACATGGATGCTTAGTTGGTAGATATCAATGCTTCAGGCGGTCAGTATGCAAATATCTCGAGAAAGAAAAGTCCAAACCAATGTATGCTACGCCACAATTTTCCTTGAAATGTAACCATACAACCTTTCGGGTCATTAGTTTTAGCTCTGGCAATCTGTTAGATTACATCTAAAGACGAGGAGAATATTACTTGCGGTGTCCACATGGCCGAACATCACCTCACAACCATGGTACCACAAGTTAATCCAAACGTATAAACGGCCGCATGAACAGTTTTCCAGACATACAAACAACCACATGTAATATTTTTTTTCTAAAAGAGTCGGCCATGACGGCCTGCCATGAAAATATAGGTCAAAGAGTTATCTTATCATCTAGTAACAAAATTTTTTATGGCATTCAGTATTAAGTGATTAAAAAAAAAGAAACTCCACATATTAACAACTTGATTGTGATTTGCTTAACTTGCTCAATAATAAAAAATTAAATAATAACAATAATAAGATCACATGCAATGATCGCAAATGCGTACCAGCAAAAGTCAAATGGGACATTAGATGAGGAGTTCCAAGATTATTAGAATTATTTTAATATAATTTAAATAATATAATGTTAATATTTTGGAGCATTTACACGCCAGACACTCAATTCTCATGTATTCACTTGTCTAAAATCTAAGTTACATTTCTTCCTCTAAGATCTTACATGTATGCATCACATAAGGGAAATGAAATTCAACTTTTCATAACATTGTTAGTGGTAAGTTTGCCAAAATTAAAGTTAAGTGTTAAAGCATAAAAATACATAATAATTGGGTGGCATTCATGCCAATCTTCCTTTCAGGTTTCATCAATTCAATACAATATCCTAATTCAAGGCCTTTAAATATGTCAAAGATAATTTTAAATACAATTTTGTTTTAATTATTTTTATATATGTTTAATTCATTTTTTAAATTTTTTATTCATCTGATTATAATATTTAAAAAGAAAATTGACGGATTAAAATCCAAAAAATTCCTAAAAAATTTAACCGTTGGAATCGATTTGAATTTTAGAACCATGATTATTAATCGCCAATGTAAGCTTGGAACTAAATTCACTTAAAGAAATATTAAGAGTTTATCACAAACTCCAACTCAACCTAAACTTTACAAGACAAAAATAAACCTAAGTTCAGATTGTCCCAAAAAATTTTCGAGTCTGATTCAGATTAAATATCTTCTTAATACATGTAATTTTTAAGGTCAGATTTGAATCGACCTATTAACCCAAAAATAACCCACCAGCAACATTGACTCAAAATCAAGCCGCTAACCCGAATTTGGCCCCAAATTGACTTAAAATTAGCCCGATTTAAACATGAACAGTCAATCAGTTCCAAGTCAAATCAATTTCTTTAAAGCTCCTAACTTTCCAGCCATGAGCTTGAATCTCAATAAAATAAGCACCAAATAATAATAATAATAATAATAATAATAGATCAATTTCTTTAAAGCTCCTAACTCTCCAGACATGAGCTTCAATCTCAATAAAATAAGCACAAAGTAATAATAATAATAATAATAATAATAATAATAATAATAATAATAATAATAATAATAATAATAATAATAATAATAATAATAATAATAATTCCACTCAAGGAAAATACGACCAACCAACGGCTTTGCTGAGGTCCAAAAAGAGAAAATATTACATCAGTAGTAGAGTAATATGCGTAGCCAATAAAGATCGGATTTTCCCTAATTTTCCTATGACATTTATATCCATACCACAATTTCTATGTATTTAAAAATCTAACACCTAAGCTTCGCTTTTTACATTTATACCACCATTTTAACTTTTAAAAACTGAAATCCAACTTGTTGCGCATACGGAAGGTGGCATGCGTTTAAATTGATGTTGGGGTTGAATAAGTAAACATTATATGAATACAAGACGAATTCCGGCAGCCAGTAAAACACTATGTACAACATAGAAATCCAATTAGGAAGAAGTAATTATTTCAGCTTTCTCCTTGAATAACTCTGCAGCTAAAATCAGAAGCTCCACAAGTTCAATTTCTGCGGAGCAGACAACTCTATCACTACTTCGCTGCTGCTCCAACGTGCCGTCCGATGGCTCGAAGAGACTATCGTACGCGATAGAGGCGACCGTAGGATCCGCAGACCAGCTAAGAGGGAGAGAGCTACTTAGAGCAGTTTTCACCTGGTTTGCTTCTGCCATTATGCTCTTTAATAACCCCATATTTTCTGAAGAACCAATGGCCGCAGTATCGTCTCTTACCTGCACCATTTGGAAGAGGGAAGAAGAATCGCAGAAGCTGAAGCCAATGTATAGTTTACCAATAAGTTGAACAGATTATAGAATAAAGAGGTATTCATTCTATGTATTTTTACATACATACCACACATTTCTTATGTATTTACATATCTAACACCTAGAGACTCATATTTACATGTGAAATATTAGCACATGAAATTAAGTAGCAAGCCCGTGTTTTGAGAAAATGAAGAGAGAGAAAATATTAGACAATGGTTGCTGCTCCAAATTTCTCTTAGCCAGCCTTTGGACACTTCAAATTAAAAGATATACTATGAGAAATTTCAACATTATAATAATGACGTATAAATCATGTAATATTTTGTTAAAGAAAATATTAGTCAATGGTTGCTGCTCCAAATTTCTCTTAGCCAGCCATTGGACACTTCAAATTAAAAGGTATACTATGAGAAATTTCAACATAATAATGACGTATAAATCATGTAATATTTTGTTATATGGATGATCAATGAACTCTTATACTATGCTGATGTCAAAATAAATTAAGAAATCTTAAAATCTACCTTCACTAATTTATTCTCAAGATAATCCTTGTCCATTTGTTTCTATCAACAATTGCTATCATGATTGCTATTATACTTGATTCTTGAAAAGTTATGAAAGAATTGCTATTATACTTGATTCTTGAAAAGTTATGAAATAATAATAATGGCACAATAAACAAAAAACAGATTTGAGAAACATAAATGGCATTCTTGAAAATAAAAATTAATCTTTTCACTAAATTGAAGATACATACATTTATTAAAGACTTGACCCCCACAAGCAGACGACTTGAATTACAACATATACTCATTCTTACACTAATTTTAAAATAATTTTAAATATTTTAAAATTCATTTTGTCCATATTTTGGTCAAAAAATACTCTCTCACACACACACATTATATATATACTAACACACACACACACACACACTGTTTTGAAAACTAAATCAGATATCAAACCAGAAGGACCAAAGGTTCAAGGTTCATTGGCTTGACTACCGGACAACCTAATAATTAATAAATACAAAAAAAATATATAATCTAACTAATACAATAATAATATAATAATATAAAAATAAATAAATAAAACACATTTGAGTGGTACTATTTACAAAAAAAAATTTCTCTCACTTGAGGGCCTAAGGCAGGTGGTCCAATGCCCAAAAACTTTTTTAGTATTCCAAAAAAAATTTAATAATAATAACCCTATAAAATATAAGCTTTCCTGTTCCCTCTCCCCTCCTTGTAGGCCCATATCCCCATTCTCTCTCTCTCTCTCTCTCCACACACACACAAACGTGGATATTGATGCTGCCTTTTGAATTGGGAAACATATGGAAAGAGCTATAAACATTAAAATGACAGAAAAGAAAATATATAAGAAAATATTTACATTTTTCAAACTATTGAGCTAGTTGTCCAATTTACAGGTTGAACATGCAATTCGATCGGTTCCTAACAGTTCAATGACAAAAACAGGCTATCATATGTTCTGGACCGAATCAACCATCGGTTCACAGTTGAGCCGACCGATCTGCTCCGGTTTTCTAAATTATATATATATATATATATCTGTGTGTGTGTGTATGTGTGTGCGCGCGCGCACATGTCTTGGCTTATTGCGCGCACACACATGTCTTGGCTTATTGGTTGGAGAGGTTACTGTAAGTCCCCTCAGGTCAAAATTTTGAATCCCCGTGATGCGGTGGTCCTCGAATAATAGCACATGACGCGAGCTTCTCACTATAGGGCCTAGCGCACAAAAAATCGGTATTTGCCTTCTCACTTAGGTCAACTTTTTATTCGGTTGCCAAATACCGATTCTTTAAATATATATTCTTATAACAAATTGTGAGCAGGATCACCACACCTTAATTCAAGATAGGCAACCGAATAAAAAGTAAAAACTCGATGAGCAAAAAACAGTTGTGAAAATCAATAAGACAGCTCAAGTCAGTCCAACATTGTTGGCTTGTTAGATCAGAAAATGGACCAGCAATATTGGCAACTTTCATCTATGCACGTGCACATGCTCATGCTCATGCTCATTATATGGATGCAAATGTATCAGGTTATTAGGGAAAATAAATTTAGTTAGATGGAGCAAGTAAATTAATCCATGTACATAAGCATGTTTATTGATTTAAGATGCAAATATAAAGAGTATCAGATAAAATAAATAAATCACGGAGGAGAAGATAAAATAAGAAGCCATGGAGTTATAACAAATGTTAAAAGTTTAGAGTAAAGGGGCACATAGAGAAGCATCATAAACTGTCATCATCATCATAAGCCTTATACCAACTATTACAATTCAACTCAATAAAACTTCATTTTTTCAATTGTTTTAGTTGCATTTGAGGTGTTGAACCTATACTCGGTAAATCATCTGAACAACTTCTATTTATGTTAGCCGAATCAAACCCCTTTTTTAAATCCCTTAAAACTAATTTTATTAATCAATTTAATAGACACAAACTTTTATTCTGATAAGTTATTAACATCGAGTGTAAAATGAGACGAGAAATCAAACACAGTAAGGAAAGAGACAATCTAAAACATAAGCACAAAACATCGAGACGAGAAATCAAACACAGGAAAGAGACAATCTAAAACATAAGCACAAAACATGTGTTGTGAGATTCAGCTTCATCTACAGTCACAGAAAAAACCAATAAGAGCATCGTGGTTATCAATCAACATGGAAGCCCAAAAAGTAGAGCAAGGGTTGCTTTAGCTTAATTTTATCATGTTGAACAATTCAAAAAGTTGCCCTCAGTAGTGTGAATGCAAACAAACCTTTAACAGGGAGATATGAAGTCGATGAACTTTAGAAGTAAGATGCTCCAAATTCGACATGCTTTCTTTAACGGCTGCATTCTCAACTTTCAACCTGCAACATACATATAAGGTCTGAGATACCAATGCCCTTAACCAAGGGCAAAAATTGGGGTTATTTATTAATTTTTCCTCAACAATTATATCAATCATTTCTTCTTTTGAATCTTCTTTATTATTTTCTCTAGCTCTCTTATAATTGTCTTGCAATAAATTTGAATCAAAGCATTTTGCATCATTCCATATGGAAATTGCTAGGTTGAAAACAAGCTACATTAAAAGATGCAGACTTCCTTCAACCTTTTTTTTTTCTTAATGTCTTCCAAGTTTTTTCATCAAGTTTTCCATAACTCCACAAATGGTTCCTGGTTCTCCTTCTAGTGAGAAACATGGGTTTGGTTTCCGCCATTAGGGTTGCAAAAAAAGCTCAATTTTCCCGAATTACTCGTGTTTGGCTTGTTAAGTAGCTTCTTTTAGAATTGTTTGCGAAAAACAAAAAAAAAAATTTAAGCTCGAATTGTAAACCAGTCGAACACGAACAACCCTTCGTTATTATTTATATCAAAGTTCCAATCACTACAACTTATGTGGTCATTTGGCTTTGCACATTTTAGTGCATAGAAATGGTGCAGATTAGAATCCAACACCCAACAACTATTTTTTTAATTAATTTAGATGAACCAATTTCGAGTAAATCACGCCATCCCCACGAGACGCCATCCACATGCCAAACTTGTTGATCCATCCCAAGCTGCTTTCATCTCCCCAAAATTTTTCCAAACCCCTTTATAAGCTAGAAAGCCCTTCTCCTAAGCTATCTCAAACAACACCCTTTTTCAGCAGATCTCTACCTTGTCGGCTCAAACAGGCACAATTTTATAGTAAATTTATGTCTAAACCGAAAAACCAATATTGATTCTTAGATTGAATGCATAGATTACAAATTTTTCAAAAAAGTGCTGTTCCAGCTTTTAAATTTTCTGCTTCATTCTTTCCTGCACCAAATAATAAATTTTAAGGTCATACTGAACCACAATGAAATTTAATTGTATCTACCGCAGTTAAAAATGGTAACAATGGCTTTAAAAAAAGTAAATTACTTAGGTTGCATTTGCGGCCGCGGTGTAATGGTAGTGAAATATCGCAACGCAGTTTTATCTGTTCGGCAAAATTGAGTTTTGGCTGTTTTTTCAAAAAGCTATAATTGAAAACTGCATTTTGCCACCGAACCTGGTTAAAGTGCGGTGACTGCTAGAAACCTGCGGTCTGACCTAAAGATTACTTCTTTGACTTTTAAGAAAGATAGTCTACAAAATTAAATTTTGCATTTACCAAGGGTTAGTTACTAACTTCTGAGTCTATTAATCAAACAACTTCTAGACTCCGTTCAATCACCTTGACCGCTTCGGGCTTGGAATAAACCAATACGGGAACAGACATTCAGACGGTGAAAACTAAATTTTCCTTATTCGTTTACAATTTAACAGATGAAAAAAACACTAATTAAATTAAATAAAAACAGTAAAATTACATTTACCTCGTTACTGGTTGTCCGCATCTTCTATAAACGTTTTATCTTAATAACCTAACAAGTCAGTTTAAAATAACAAAAAACTAAACAAGTCAGTGAATACTGATACTCAAACTACAGTAACACAAGAGAAAATGAAATAACATGCACACTAATCAATCTTTTAATAAATTTTAAAAAATAATTGATGGTGAGCTTTTAATAAATTTTAAAAAATAATTGATGATATTCAAAAAGCCTTGCTATATTAGTAATATATAAATAACATTATCTATCTTTATAATCGTCACAGAAGCATTGTCTAAAAATTGTGTCAATTAAGATACATCAATATCAACATTATTTTTCATATACGTGCACGGGTACTTTAGTGTCCCCTTATTATAACCATCAAAAAGAGATTCCATCATAACAAAATATGAATATACAGGCATACTATAAAAATTCTACCTTTTTAATAATAAATATTTCATTCTCAATTTAATATCAATCAATATTCATGCACATAATTCAATGATAAATTAAACAAAACAGAACAGACAAATTTTTTGTACCATATGAACAAAATTAACTAGAACTATAAATCACGAGTATTCAGTACTATAAAAGTAACAATAAATTTATTTGATCGAGAAGAAAAAAAAACATTAATATAGCAAAATAATAGGAGCACTCACCTCGATGTCGACTAATTTGTTGTTTGATTTCGACCCTTCTAACAATTGAAAGCCTAAAATAAACATGTATAAAATTTAATTAACTTATTATTTTAATAAACTATTAGCTTTTCATTTACATATTTATTATTACTATTATTATTATTATTGTTGTTGATTTATTATCATTAGATCAATAAAAATTACCATCTTTGGTCAAGTCCTAATCCATGAGAGAAAAGCTCTGCATGCAACTGTTTTCTTCCTAGCTTGGCTTCGACTCCCTCCCGCAAGAAAGCACGATCTCAACCTACCCACCTTCTCTGCGATGCTCGCTCCTTTCCTCTTCTTCGCTGATAGGCTAGGGCACATGCTCTCCTCCGCCGCTCGACAGGAAGCCCTAAATTACGTTGTTCAACTTTCCTGTAAGTTTTTGCCTCCCTCACAACAAATTTATAAGCGAACTTACTTATTCGGTTTCCCGACCTTCTCGATTAGTCTCCCATCTATTCGCTTTCGACTTCTCGCTTCAACTTCCCCATGTTTGACTATGCACTTCCTCTTCCAACTTATCGTTTCTTCTTCCCCGAGGAAACCGAAACGTGGCCTCACAATCTTCCACACACAAAAAAATTTCATCCTCGAAATTTATATACAAACAAGTCAACATTAGCTATCCATGAAACTAGGGTCATTCATGAAAAGCAATCACAATAGAGATAAAGACTTAATACAAGACGACTCAATTATACTTCAGAAGCATGATAGGAACCCCCCCCCTCTCTCTCTCTCTCTCTCTCTCTCTATATATATCTATATATATCACACTATATATATATATGTTAAATGAGCTCATAAGGCTACTCCGCACCAACTGGATCAACAGCTTCTGCCTACTGTTTTTGAGGCAGCTCTTCCTCAGATCACAAATACTATGAATTTTGTTATAGCACCTGCTAGCCAAAGTGTCTTGGAAACACCTATTGCGAGAGAAAAATGTACTCAAGTTCTGGAGAAGTGTCAGGATCAAGGTCTGCTGCAAACTGAGTCAGATCAGCAGTTTACGGATCAACATACCCCCTAGGGTGAGCTCTCCATCGAAGATCCACCTATTGTTCAGACGAGACTACATCTGGGAGATGATTAATAAGTTTACAAATCTATGAAGAAGAAAAGAGGAATGCTAGATCTCAATAATTATCAGGATGACTGTCTCATAGTTTCGGGCGGAAACCCACATCTCAGTATGTTGCTGGACTCCCTCCTTAGATCCAGGGGCAGGGGAAGCGATATATCCACCGACTACACCCATAATGATTAGGGGTTGTTTTCTTTTTGTTATATTTTTGGGGATTATGTGTAAGTTGTAATCCCGGTGAGCATCTCTTTGTCCCCACTCACTAAAACCTTTGTATCCGTAAGTTGTAATCCCGGTGAGTATCTCTTTGTCCCCACTCACTAAAACCTTTGTATCCTCTCTTTTTTATCAATGAATTTTGCTTATATATATATATATGGCCTCACGGCGAACCATAGCGTCTGCTTCGATATCTCTCTTATCTCTGCTTCACCTTCCTCGTCGGCTTCTCGCGTCGTTTGCCGCTTTGGATTCGGCGGGTTGCGTTGCTTTGTTTGTCGCGTCGCTTCCGCTTTCTGCGTCGCATCTCCTTTGTCGCCGCTGCTCTGCTCGAGTTGTTTTCGTAGGGTCCGCTTCTGCGCTCTGCTTGACGTGTTTTCACAGGGGCGTCGTCCGCTTTTGGGCGGGCTGCGTTCACTACAACCTACAGGGCGTCTGCTGAATTTGCCGGAGTTCCGCTCCTGCTCCCTGTTTTCTGGGTTTGGACTTCCTGGATTCTGACTTTGTTCTTCATTGCTTTCTTCACTTTTCTTAACGCCAGACCTCCATCTATTGGGGATGACTTCGGACAGATCATATGCTGCTGCTCTTGCGGGTGTCAACGCTGCCTTAGGTACACCTAAATTGTGTTCTTTCCCTCATTCATTTGAGTGAGAGGAGGATATCAATAAGTCTGAAAGAAAGAATGAGAAATTTACCATCTTTTTTACAGAAGCTGAATGTATTCAACTTGCTTCCTTCTGTCGACTGAATTTAGTTGAGAAATTTTTGTATGGTTATCCCAAAATGAAGCTGATTTGTAAGGAATTTGAGCTTATACACCTGGTTGAGGAGTGAAAAATTGGACTGTTAGATGGAAGACACATTCTCATACAAATTAATAATGAAGAAGATTACACGCGTTTATTTGCTAGAAGTATAATCTGAATTGATAACGGAGCAATGAAGATTCTGAAATTGTCTGTGGATTTTGACCCTCAGACGGAACCTCCGATCATTCCGGTTTGGATTCACCTCACTGGTCTGAAATTTTATTATTTTACTCAAAAAATTTTGTATGCTATTGCCTCAACTTATGGTAAGACACTCAAAATAGACATTTCTACTTTTAATCTTTCTCATCCATCAGAAGTCAGAGTACATGTTAAAAGAGACATCACTTCATCTGCTTTTGAGGAAATTTGGTTGGGCACACAACATCATGGGTATTGACAAAAAATAGAGATTGAGCATTTTCCTTCGTATCATTCAAACTGTCGTATGTTCGGTCACTCTAGTTCTCAATGCCACCATCTACATCCACACCTCAGACCAAAAAAGCACAATGCTCCGCCAGAGACAGTAATTTCATCTCCTCCTGATCAACTCCAAGTTATTGACAATATTAATCATCAAAAGAATGCCCCCGAAGACGTCACTATTCTCGCAAGCAATATTACAACCATTTAGCCGTCTCTAGAACCTCCTATCGTGGGTGAGAGGGAGATTCTTCAGACCCCACTTGCCCTAGA